ATTTGCTTGGGCCACAATACACCAGAATAGATGTCACATGATTCTAGCCAACCTGCGCAAGACAAATGACAAGACAACTCCTACAAAAGYATACAAGATTCCTCATGGGGACTGGTTTGAGTATGCCTCAAGTCCACATTATTTTGCTGAAATACTGATTTATGTGTCATTTGTRATGGTGCAAAAAGGAGCCAACATTTACACTTGGTTTTTACTGCTCTTTGTCATCCAAAATCTTTCTGTTGCAGCAAGTAACACTCATATTTGGTATCATAACAAGTTTAAGGAATATCCACAGACAAGGTGTAGATTAATACCTTATGTATTTTGAGATATGAACACTTTGGTAGCAGGCAATGTGTTGTGTTATACTGTAATTATAGAACTATAATCTCTTACATGGTTGTGTTTCTTTCTTTTCATAGCTTAGTACTTACATTAATCGTTTACTCTAGTTGCTCTAGTACATAGGTAATATTTCCTAGTGTAATATTTTACTTTAGCGTCCTTCTTAACTCATGTCTCACAGTAGTTAGACAACAGATGTAAGTGTCCTTAGTTTTTGTTTAGTTTTTTTGCTTATTTGTAACCTTATGTTTACATTATCGCCTACTCAGTTGATTATAAATATCTTTGTAGTTTTCATCATGTGCATAAACCAATGGGTAGTTCCAGAAAATATCCATACCCCTACGACGGGCGACATTTTGGAATTCCGAAGGGGAGGGGAGGGGAGGTTTTTGGAATTCTGAGAGGGAGGGGGGGTTTCTTATAGTAAAGTTTTATAGTTCTATAGTAAAGGATTCTGGAATTCCTGGGGCTAGGGGGACAAGCCGATTTTGGAATTTCTGAAGGAAAGGGGGGTCAAAAATCAATGCCGCCCATCATAGGGGTATGGATATTTTCTGGAACTACCCAATTTTAAAGTCATTGTATCTGGAGCTGTAAAAAATGMAGAAAATTTTTATAAAAGAACTATTAAACAGCAGCTTGTGTCTCTATCCTCTGATATAAACACAGTGGGAGTTGAAAAACACAAGAGAAGCAAGCTTAGAAACATGAGCATACACGCTCACTGTTTTGGATTTCTTAAATACATAATAAAATAGGACAAACCACACTCATTTTGCATATTGAAAATAGATTTATTAATTGAATGATTCATGCTGTAGAAAGGAATACACGTATAGTAAATGCATATGTATAAATGTACACTAAAGTATGGTATTTTAGAAAAGTGAAAATTTTCAAAATTAATGTTGATAATAAAATTTGTTTTTTTCTTACATGTTGGTGATTGGAATTTGATCCTTGGTAAAATGAGGTAACATGTTTTCAAAAAGCTTTGTTGGTTTTAAGGCAAGCACAATGTAGGAAATTCAGTGACAATTGTTCACTTTTAAGTCCATACAGCACGRGATAGAACTGAAGTCATCTTGTTTCTTAGAATTCAGCTTTAAAATGAAAAAAAAAACACTAAACGTACTGCAAATCATTTGAATTTTGAGGAAAACATTTCTGGAAAATCATTTAAGTATGCATAAGATCATCTTTACTGCATGGGTGCTGCTTATTAGAATTCCACAGAGCAGATAAAAATAATTTATGTAGAAAGACTTTAGTCAACTAAAAAGTAATGGAACAACAGTTATCAAGTATTTGAAAGCATGCCACCTCATTTTACCATAACATGGCTTGTCATATCTATTCATATTTCACATGAATTGTCTYGGATGAACATCAAAGATGTCCCTTCTATATCACAGAATTCTCTACATGGTTCAGTTATTTAAATTATACTGTAGGACAAGCAAGATGATGCATTAGAATGAAGCATTGGGTCACTAGAGTGAAAACAGMATCAATAAACCATGAAATACAAATTACAAAACAGTGAAAAATAAAATACAAGGCACRAAATTATCAAATGATAATATTGTTTGTGCTAATTCACAAAGAATAAAAAACAATTTATGAGTCTGGGGCCAATCGTGTGAAGTTATCCAACATTAAGAAGTTGCCCTTTCCATATATTTGGTATGGATTTTATCTGCTGGATAAGGATTTATCAACTGGATAACAAAGGAATAAGCATTATTTGCGAATGTTTTGTACCATTTTATGTTGCATTTTTTTTTAGATTTTGTATTTCATATYATCAAGTTTCATGGTTATTGATGCTGGCACTCTATGCTTCAGTTATCTCTAATTCCATGGTTAACTTAGTGTGTCTCTTTGGCAATTATATATCTTGACTGTCATATTTATGTCTTTATTTTAAAGGTTAAGACAATAAACTCATGTTTTACCAAAGATGAGAATTACCTATTTGTCAATGAAGTATGTCATGTGTACACAGAAAAAAATATTCTGAGTTATTTCAAATTTTGATGTTTTTTGTCTTTTACTGCGCAGCAAGTTTTTCCAAATGAATTTATAGATGCTGTATTATGATGAGAAACACTGACAAAACTTTAGTCTCATTTGCAATATGAAAGAAATAGCTTGAAGTAGATATTTACTTAATAGTTACATTAAATTTGCAAGTCATGCTACTGTACATGTACATATATGTAGATATACACCAGAATTATCTACGACATATTTGATGAATAAAAATAACTTTGACCTGATGAAGAATTAAGGTATAAACAACAAAGATACGCTTTGCCTAAGAAACATGAATATTAATATTCTTGTCAGTAAGAACACAGATAATAACAGAGATAAATTGCAAGTTATGTACATGTACTTTGGAGTGAAGTCAATGGTGTCACAAAGTGACTAGCTTGTCATTATGAATACCCCTACAATGTAGGTTGCAAACATTTAAATACATACATAAGCAATGAATACGATTTGAAATTAGCAGCTTTTCAAATGAAAGATAAATTATTTTTAAGTGCTGTGGACGAAGCCTATTCGTGTACATCAAAGTCCAGCACAAGAAGCTTAGTTTCTTCYGTACCATTACGGCTACCAACAGCGCACACAAGTTTCTTCTCGTCACACCTTACTCTCCAAACAACGCCACCACTGCCTCCGCTCTCAAGCTTAACCAAGTCCCTTATAAACTCCCCTGTGTGAAGATCCCAGATCTTAACGGTCCCATCATCAGAGCTTGTAATAACAAACTTGCTGCTAAACTGTAGACACGTTACAGCACTCTGATGCTTATTTGACCCAGCTAAGGTCTGCAGGCATTGACCAGTCGTAATGTCCCATATTTTAACCGTGGAGTCAGCATTACCAGACACTAAGGTGTTGTTACGAAGCTCCATGCCACTGGTGAGTGATTGATGACCAACTAGAGTATGCAGGCACTGTCCTGTTTCAGCATGCCATACTCGTATAGAAGTGTCCAGAGAACCACTTACAATGTAAACACCATCAAATTGAAGAGAATACACTCTATTAGTGTGCCCTTGTAGCGTATGGATGCATGYTTCAGCTTCTGGATCCCAAACCTTTACCAGGAAATCATAAGCTCCACTGACGACACGACGGCCATTGTACTTGACACTATGAAAGAACAGATAATGTTGAAATACATGTGAAAAGTAAAAAAGAATACTTGGGAACAAATTGTTATGTCAAAATAGAACTTTAAACTGTATACATCTGTTCATTGGGAATTCAATTGTCAATGGTGAAGAAAAAAGAGCCACCACATGAAGGGGTACTGGGCTAATTACTAGTGCCACTTGTCATATCTTCTGAAATTCCTTCATGATGACAATTATTTGAGTGGTCTAAAAGTTCTATTAGTTTCTCAAGTCTGATGTGAATCCGAATCRCAGCAAAAAGAAACAGATTCGCAGCTAAACCCCAAATGCTAACTGTTAACAAACTTCAAAATTTTGAGGTCATGATGTGAGATTTTTCTTTGTTAACTTTCAATAAATAAATCCTATTCACAAATTTAAAAAAATTTAATTTTTTTGCTTTTTCCTCTGCTCAAGAAGGTGCATAACAAACAAAATAAACAAATTAACAATGAATAGAAACAAGAATACATAGAACACTAACCATCTAACAGCAGCTAAATGTCCAACAAGAACATGAAGACAGTTGCCRCTTGCTGTATCCCATACCCGTAGAGTCCCATCTCTAGATCCACTCACAACCTTGCCGTCATTCATATCCATACACCGCACAGTAGACGTATGCCCATATAATGTATGAATACAATAGCCTGTATCGGCATTCCATACTTTGAGTGTTCTGTCTGTCGACCCACTAACAATAATATTGCCACTTARTTGAGAAGACCACACMCCACCTGTGTGTCCAACAAGAGTGCGCAGGCACTTCCCAGTGGTTGCAGACCATACTTTAAGTGTGCCGTCATCTGATCCACTRACCACACGTGAGCCAGAAAATTGTAAACAYGTTATGACATGGTCATCATGGCCTTTGAGTATTTTGGATGGTCGCAAGGGACCACACCTCCAATTCCAGTAAATCTGTTGCTTTGTCATAAAGAGTTTTTTAAACGGGCTTGGCACATGTTTGGTGTATGATGATTGTGGCGAATTGCTGCTCTCTTTGTGGCTGCGTCGACGCGGTGATTTTGTTATGGTTACAGGTTCGTCGTCTATTCTAGCTTCTCTGCACTTTTGTTTCCATAGCCTAAGAGTTAAAATAACAGTATACAGTACGGTTAGATATAGTTATTAATAATATAGAGACTTTTATATAAAATAAAGTGGTCTTCCACACACTGTGACACAATGCTAGCAGGCAGTGTTCAATATCTGACAATCCTAATTCTGAACTAACGAAAAAATGCTTCTCTTATTGTGCTTAGGGTCTACTGGTGTCTATTGGCTTTGTAACTATTTCACAGTTACATGAAAACTTCTTTGAGTAAAACATGAAATGCGTATATACAAAATAGTTCACATTTTTAGGAATTCTATGAAAACCACACTTATGTGATAGTTTTTTCCTAATAAGAGATTGTTATTATTATTTATTGTAAATATGTTTTTCTGTAATTTCAATAATAAAATTCACATAAAATTTACACTAGTGATTTTTGTGATCATTGTTATCCTAGAGAATGTTAAAGAATTAACTGTGAAGTTTTATTCAGTGCACTGGGATGAGCTCATCAAGAGCCTCTCACAAGGATAAAACAAAATGCTTAAATTATTTGTGAAAATCATCACAAAAATAAACGGCCTTGTTTAACTTAAGCGCTAACTTTTACTCAGCATTTGACATMATGAATATTAAGGTTGAAGCTTCTGGATGCTGTACAGCATATTAATGTACCCTGAGGACACAAGCATCAATCATAATGCACTTTAAATWTAAAAATTGATATGTCCCACCATGACAACTGGCATTAGGTCAATATTCAAACATTAAACTTCAACTAACAATACATGTATTTGCTCTTGAGATATTTGCAAAAATAATAACTTACAGGTTATCGTCGCAAAGTATTTGCCAACATTTACATGTTTGCGCTGCTTGAAGTAAATCCTTTGGCCCCAGAAACGAGAGAACATAAAGAGCTAATTCCCTTGGCAACAGAGAAATAAAATCTCTTTGGAATCTTGGTTCAATTGTACCCATCATATGCCGAACCAAAGTTGGTTCACAAGTGTCAATAATTTCTTCCAAAACAAACTTCTTCTCTTCTAAGCCCCAGTGGTGAAATGTTTGCAGCCAYTCTTTTAAGCCTGCCGGAGGTTGGCTACAAAGTGATGTCCTCCTACACCGTGCTTCACCTGATTGTGATAACGATGTGTCGGTCTTGATTCTGCCATAACTTTTAACAGGAAGAATTCGAACAGTTCTAYCTTGTTTTGTAGGTGTGCATAGCTTTTTAGGCGGACTTGCCGTAGTCTCTGTCGTTGATTCAAGCTTGCCTGCAAGCTTGTGCTTACGCGACGTCTTGGTAGACTTCTGCGTGGTTAATATTCTTCTAAAGATGTGTCTTTGATGGCTATGAGATCTGTCTCTTTTTGTGGTCGCTGAAGACCTTGTTACCCTTTTTGCAAAGGTTTGTCTAGCTGTAGAACACAGTAATACATTTTTATTGCACTCGACAACATGTGGTCCTATACCAGGCACTTGCGTCAAGTCATAGACATTTTCAAATCCCCCAAGAGCATCTCTGAACTCGCATATTGCYTCTGCTTTTGTCCTACCAATGCCAGTCAAGTGTGCTAAATCGTTCGGYGATGCCCTGTTGATGTCAATGCAGTGACCACCTCCCATGCAATCCATTGGTCAAACCAAGGAACAGGCCCTACAATCAAACATACRGGTAAACAATGTCATCCAAAAGAAACGATATAATCTATAAGTGGAGTTTACTGCTTTTGGGTAAATTGATATCAGCAATTATTTTCCCACTCAGTTTGGGAATTTTAATTGTCCCTTATTATAAGGGTAATTAAGAGGCAAACACACTCCCTTGGCAAATATGAGGMGATCTTCATTTACTGCACAAACACACACACTTAAAATATTCAAACAAAACGCGATTGACGAATTTTTTTCGGGCTTCTTCGCGAGCAGAGCGATTTTTTAACGAACATTTTCACAGAAAAAAATAATAATATTGCATAAGACATGTGGCAGCATGTACCAATTAGCTAGAAAACGAAGCATCGCACTCGTTGTAGGACGCTTGCATACAAATTATGCCCAAAGTGTGTTTCAAACAAATTTGCTTTGGAACCCGTACATCACCAGCTAAATGAGTCATTATTCATGAGAAAATCCTTTTCCGAGAATAACTCGAATATTTCAAGGAGTTAAAATAAAAAAATTGCTCAAAATCATATCAGGTTTCACGGGGAAAAAAATAACCTAGCGACAAACATTTCCTCAATAAAAACAACAAAAGGTTTTAAACCCTTGCCAGATCGAAAAATTTTGACACTCACTTCATCGAAATGAGTAATATTCTTTGATTTTAGCTTTGTAAGGAGGAATTAAAAGTCTATATAAATGTGTTATATCTTATCTTCAGAGAGAAGGAGGTGACTCCCAGCGGTCAACTTAATCACGCAGGAAAACTTTCGACTGTTCACCGTTTGCAACACAGTTCACGACATAAAATTATACGACTTCTTACCTTTTTAACAAGGTTAAAACCCCTAGAAAGCCTCGACTCAATTGTAAAAATCATAAGGCCATCAGATAGTTGAGTGGGAACCCAAAATTGTAGAAAAAACAGMGCAAGTTTCAGCGAAAAGCAACAAAACTTTACATGACACGAAACAAAGATGGCGCGTTTCGCGAATTATCCACGAGGCTTTCAACGTCACCGTCACACCTTGACCTTGAGAGACTGGCGCTACACATTCCTTATATGGATAACGAAACCGAAGTGGTTACGAAATTTCCTAAGACCCGATGATCTCCGATGATTAACAAATGAATTTCGATGATGGTGGTTCGATGGTGGTATGACAAATGCCYGCATTGGTAACGCGTAGTCCCGACCGCTATAATCCTTACAAAACACGATAGAAATGTCTGCTAATACCTGTGACATGAACAGCTTGTCAATTCTTGTGCTTGCTTCGATTTTTCTTACTTTTTATCAAGTATAGTGACTCTGATGCCTCTTAAAAAATTATGCAGTCCATGAATGTGCACAGCTTTTTGTCTTGACTTTTCGTGCCTCTTGAGTGCGTCAGCAGAAAGGGCTGTAACACGGAAGTCACGTACGAAAAAGCGCCGAAAATTCATGATTCAAGCTCGGACGCTGATCSGTAATACGAACTAGTTCCGAGCATTCCCGAAATATTTTTGTCCTTAGTGACCAGGCCATCGTATAGAAATTCTGWGTTGAAGGTTTTGCTAGTGCTATCAATTTTAGCAAGTTTTTCGTTCAAATTTAACTGTAGGAATGGCATCTAAAGCGACTGGAAAGAATGATAACTTTCGTCGTACTTGGGACAAGGATGAGTACGAGAAAAAAGCGAAAGAAAGACTTCAAGAATTGGAAGACGACGACGAACCAAGCTCGTCAAGTCAAAGAAGAGAAGCTCCCATAAAACGCAAACTTTTAAAGAAAAGAGAATATGAAGTTGATCTAGAGTCTAATCTTGGCAAATCTGTAGTAATTACAAAGAGCTCAACAATGTCTCAAAGTGGAGGATATTATTGTAACGTKTGTGATTGTATTGTAAAAGATTCAATCAACTTTTTAGATCAYATTAATGGCAAAAAACATCAACGAAATTTAGGCATGTCTATGAGAGTCGAAAGGTCTACACTGGATCAAGTTAAAAAGCGTTTTGAATTAAATAAAAGGAAAAGAGAAGAAGAAAAACAAACAGCTGATTATGACTTGGATGAGAGGGTTGCCATACTTAAGGAAGAGGTAATGCAATAAAGTCAGAAATATAAAGCTTATTCTAAAGCGTGGATTTCACTAGCGCATAAGCATAGGCATAAGCACGAAGCACGAGAGTCATATGCGCCAGTGAGAACGGGCTCAAAATAAGCATAAGCATGAGCATAAGAAAAACGAGCAAGTCTTGATCTTCTTGTGCTTATCTCATGCTTATCTCATGCTTATGCTTAGTGAGAACGGGACTGCATAGGCATAAGCATAGTCTGGTACCGAAATAACACGCTTGTGCGCATTCTCAATGTCTTATGCTTATGTCCAGCCCGTTCTCACTGGCGCATATGATTCTCATGCTTGTGCTTATGCTATGCTTATGCGCTAGTGAAATCCACGCTTAAAAGATACCTTCAAACCTGTTTGAGAAGGAACTACTGAATCAAAATTACCAAAAAATGCTCATAAACAATGCTCCCGCATCTAATCTGCAAAGTAGGGATTCCAAACAAAGATGCATGGAAGAATGGCATAAACAAGAAAAATGGACCAACTTGTTCTACCCCATGCTTCTTTACCTTTTATGACAAAAGCTTCTTTCATATGATCACTCCAGACTTCTGTTGAGTGTCTACAGCTTTCCAAGTCCTGCATAGACGTTCTTGCATCATCATGTGATTTTACCCCCCCCCCCCCCCCCTCTCCCTCTATACTGTATTTTTTCATTCACTGTCTTTAGCTGGGCCATCTCTTGTACACCTCTTTGCTTATTTGGGACGACATAGCATCTCCGTTGAGCACTGTACTTTTCCGAATATTAGCAATTACTTGCATGTGCAGCTTTGAGCACTAGACCCCTTTGCCTTCTATGCAAATTGACCTTACCTTCCACTATAGGGGAGGGGGAAAGAGGGGGTAAGTTTCCAATTTTTTTTAGGGGGGGAGGGGATGGTAGGATATAAATTGTTAAGCATTTGCAGTTAAAGGAAATCCTCCCAGAATATTATCATGGGATGAGAGGAAAGGAATTATTTTCATTTTGTTTTGCTCAACAGGAAGAACAAAGAAAACAACAAAGAAAAGACTACAAAAGRGAAAAGAAACTAAAAACTCAAGACCAAGATAGTGGTGTCGATCCTGACATGGCAGCCATGATGGGTTTTTCAGGATTTGGAAGCAGCAAGAAGTAGTCCACCTGCAAACGTTTTCACTTTGTATTATTGTAAATAATTCTCAAGTATAGTTGTATTGGACCTGGATAACACTCCATTCATTCTACGTACTRGAACACAGATAATGTTCATGCAGTATAATGAGACAAAAGGTATTAAAAACAACGGTGTACATACTATGTAACTTGTATTTATTTTCAAGTTCCTTGCTGTGGAAATAGTATCTTGAAGCACCTTTCTTAGAAATGTTATTTGCAATCATGAATACAGAAAGGTTATGSTAGCTGCACAGAAAGCTTGCCATGATTTTTGAATGGTAATGTAGAAATTGCCATCTTTGATTTTGAACTAACCAGCAAGCAACTTTTGACAACACATCATTTTTAAAACAAAAATTATATCACAAAGGCTCCTGATGAAAACAGGCCTTTATTTTGAACATTTTCAATTCAATCAGTGTGTTGTAGAGGAAATAGCTAGAACCATATGGGACAGGGATTCTTTTTTCAATATTTCCAACATTAGAGAATCAATGAGTTTTTGATATTTAGATTTTCCACCTAGGAATTGAAAATGGCACTCGGTAAACAAAAGGATGATTCAAATCAGTTATCAACTGATAGATCAGTTATCCGTCGATTATAATAATTCTTTTGTGGTAGTTAATCAATAGTATCCTAGACCTCACAGCCGTTATTCACCTTGTTCCCTGGTCTATCCCTCACTAACTGGGAGATGAGTTAGTCGACCAAACATGTTGATGGTTTTATTTTTTTAATTTATAAAGTTCCACTTGAGTTCCACTTGAAAGTCCTTATTTTTAATGTGTTTGACCTTTCCTGAAAAACGTCTCACCTTATAAGCTTAGGGATTTAATTAAAACTGAAACATATCAATAACATAAACATTCATGAAAAATAACAATTGATAATATTTTTGTATCCATATTATAATTAAAAGTAAAATTGATGAGTATGATAATGATAATCAATCTAATAATTACATTCATTTGACTGCACAAAATTCCCAAAACCCATGTCAGAGAGAGAATATAGATCCTATCTACAGTATGATTTAGGAAGGGGGACTTCCCTATAAAACATGGTAGGCATGCTCAAGTTTAATAAACTGTAGAAGATCAATGTCGATAGTCGATTGCTGAGGTTAATAAAATCTATTTCTTTATTAACACTTCTTCAATTTTTTTTCCATTCTTCAAAAATTGACCCTAAAAGGTACGGAGTCAGCTTAGGACCCTAAAAGGTACGCGAGGGTTTAATTTTTTACCCTAAAAGGTCCGTCGAGCATACCTACCATGTTTTATAGGAAAGTCCCCCCGGGGCTCAGTTATACAAGGCTTACCAAGGGATTTTTGCTGACAAGCAAAATTGCTCTAAAATTGCTAAAAATATAGCAACAATCATCTTCACTTCTAGCACTGAATGCCAGCAGACTGAAGTAAAAATTGGTGGGGAAAGTAATTCCAAAAAAATGAACTGCAGCAAAAAGTGCATTATTGGGAAGTGATTGTCAAAGCAACATCAGAAACCCCTCATGGTGGACCTTGTACATGACAACTATAATTTTAATTGCAATATTATTTAATTTACAATTTGTACATATTGAAGAAAAAAACAGTGGATCTAGATTACTAAACTGATAATGTATTGCATGCAATAGCTCCTATTTGTGTCGGTGCCTTATTGTAAGTGAGTGTCACCTCCTCCCCTGGCAATTCTTTCTCCCCCTTCTTAGGGCTTCCTAAGTTTGGAACTGTTGTTATATAAACTGTTAGGGACTAGTGACAAGATTCTCCCCCCTCTTACAGCAAAAGACAGGAAGCCTGTGACTCCTAGTGTTGCATGTGGAGTGGGCTTGAGTGTCTAAATACTTCTTATGTTTATCAAGAGGGTATCATTTTCTTGGTAGATAACCAAATGCACGCTAAAATTTACTATTGTAGACATCAGTACTGCTTTTGTCCTATTCCTGCTTGAACATGTAATAACTTAAATCAAGACTCTTATTTATTTCCTAAACTGAGATTGAGATGTAATGTAAGTTGTAAATGTACGAATGGAATTGTGTAACATAAGTTAACCAATCTGGGTGTAAAAAAATATAAATATACAATATGTTTTTGTTGTTTCTTGAACATATAAACGAACGAAAGGTGGTTTGTTATAGGCTATACTTTGTTAAAATATATTTTCCCATCAAACTTAGTTTTTTTTAGGATTCAACATGTGCTATAACATAAATAGCTGATTTTCAATATTTTGGTTGACTTAGCAAATRGGCAAAAGAACTGAAATTGAGGTTCTGGGAAAACAATGGATAATCCAAATTGCTTCCCCAGAGCATCRTCCTCATTTCTATTGTGCATGTCTATTCAACCAAATTATCAGGATTGGACTATTCAAGAAAGGATTACATTGAGATATTGGTGGAAAAAACACACTTATACATTCAAAAACACAACTACACAAGGTTGCCATATTTCTATCAAGRAAGGTATCTCTTGGCTCTCCATTGAATCTACTAAAATTCCAAATTACATAAGGTACCACAACAATAAAAAACTGCCAATCAAAAAGTTTTCATGATTCATCATTTTAAGCAGGTGATTGATTTTTGAATGCATTAATACATTAGCCTGTGTAATGTACATCCGTTTCTCGATTTTTTTTTTTTTTTGAGGGGTGAGAAACGGATGTTCACAGGTGATATTACATTAGTTCTGCTAAAAACATACCATACATTAAAAGATCAAAATGTTCACCAAAATTGGTCTTGTGAATTAACCATTGATCTAAGATTAAATTTTGATTCTTTGGTTTTTGTTTTGTTGTTGCTGTCGTTGTTGTTTTGAATTATGGCAGGTTCAATTATTATTAATAACTAAATACATCTCTTAAAGGACGGTGTAGATCACCATAGCCGGGGCACAAASCACAAAAACGGCCACAAAGGAGGCACTTTCTGCATCTTGAGAGAGTTTGCGTACACATGCTCAACCAGCTTCATCTATCACKGATCTTCATCTGACTAGCCATCTACATGTATAAGTCATCAATCTTATTACACCATAGAACATCGTGATGTCAAAGCAACTAYGACCCCATGATTATTTCAAAAAAAATTCAAATTCAATCCTGCGCTTCCTTCTGTTCAGTCTGTGTGTTAGAARTCTCTGYTTCTTCAGTCKTTGATATTGTACCCTTTGAGTGGTCTACGGTATAACTACCATCTATTTCACTTGAAGTYTTCATCTCTTTATTTAGTTCATTCAAGATTTCATCTTTGGGACATGGCYTCCCTGTTGCTGCGCACAGCAGTTCATTGTTCTTTAACGTGATTAATTTGGATTTCAATTGTTGCAGATTCTTTGGGTCATCACTGTGGATGTTTTTCTTTAAGCTTTGCATTGTTTTAATGAGTCTTGWTGTCATTTCTTTGTCCAATACCTAAAATACAAGAAAACATCTTATTGTAATCCATTCACCTAATATCCATCCTTATCAAATTCACTAATAAATGCATTTAGCCAGCATTTAATAAAATAAACTTTCTTGATAAAAATGTAACAGCTATGCAAGCTGTAAGCTTACCGAATTATGTTTTTCAAGCTCCAACATGAGCTTCTTTATCTGTTCATCTAATTCTTGATCATCTGTAATCGTATCTTCTTTTTGCTGTGATTCTTTGATCACATCACTTTCTTTATCTTGAGGCGCTTTGGCGTTGGATGTAGAGCTTGTCTTCTTCATAGCTACCATGATTAAAAGACAGAATAACTTATCAGGGTAATGAATTTGCAATTAACTTTCTTTATTGTGTTCTGGTTCATTAATACTGACAAATTGTCTCTAAATAGCTGCTATACATGTTTAGTATAAACATACTAATGGTCTATCACTCATACTGCGCTGTCATTGGCTACTCTACTAATGGTCTAATTTGTGATAGACCACTCGCGGGAAAATCAAAATAAATAAATTATAATTTATAAATTATTTTAAGGATATTTCAATTTGTTTTCATTATTTGACCGATTAGTATGTTTATACTAAAACAATTAGACCTCTCGGCCTCGTGGACTACGAGCTAATAGCCCATTTGGCCTCGCGTCTAATTGTTAAATAGACCAATCCCACATTCGCTTGGATGGACACGAAACAACAGCTTCATTCCGAGACTGAGTTTTATCTTTTGTCAAAAACTCCAGCCTCGAAATGAAGCCATTGTTCTGTGTTCATCCAAGCAAATTCCGGATTGGTCTATTTGTTAGTATTTAGTTTCAAGGTTTTTCTGCGTTTGCTCTATAGAGATTAGACATTCAAAGTGCATAAATCTTACTTAGTAATGTATTAATTTTTAATGCAAACAATAACAATATTGATAAATTAACTGTTATTACTATTATTATCAATGATGCTGACGAATACTGTACCTGAGCCAGCAGCTTTAGCGGCAACTCTTACTTTAAGAGTATGCCCTTTGTCTTTTAAGGACTGTATAGCCCTCTGCAATATCATGCCTTCTTGATGGAATAGYAAGACAGCTGGGATCTTCACATCATTGTTRGTGCCATCACCAGCCATTGCAAATATGGGTTGAGAGTCACTGGAACTCCCATCATTATTGTCTGCAAAAAATAAGTTAATAAGTAATCATTATTAATAATTAATTGATAGTTAATACTTGRTTAAAATTAATAATTAGTTTAGTAATTAATAAATATTAATACTCAATGAATAATTAATTATCATGAAATATAATCAATTATTAATAGTTATTGATAATTAATGACTAATAATAACAAATAAATGTTATTAATTTAAGATTTAATGGGCTTGATACTCATCAAGGTTTGATTGCCACCTATTATGCTTTYAATACTTTGTGAAATCTCAAAAGTCTCCTTCACGGTTACCTGTGTCATCTTGAAAGGTAGCCCTGCCTTTACATGGAAGCGAGACAACTGTTGAGCGTGGATTGATAGATACCTGTAAATAATTTTCTGTAGGAGTGAAAGGTTTCTATCATTGCATGCTCAAAAATAATCTCGCTTCGATGCAAAGACACGGCTACCTTTCAAGATGGAGCAGGTAACCGTGAAGGAGACTATTGATGACTACATAGCTAAAATTCATAGCTAAAACAAAGTCTTCAAATTACCAACAATAATGACTGCTACAGAACCAGCTGCCTCTGCTACTCTGACCTTCAGAGAAAAAAAAACCTTCAGAAATCATAAAAGATAAATAGACCTAGGGAGAGCTATATTTCATGTTCATGTACATGTAGGGACGGCTCGGACCTGGAAGGCTGCTCCCTCCCCTAATAAAGGTACTCCTTTACTCAGACAAAGAACTGACGTCTGAAATATCACTTACAGCCAATTTTTGAATTTTGCTCCATTTGTCAAACACAAAAGAATCAAGACGAGGAGCTGTSTTAAAMKCTCAKTCAATCGTCTCRCCTTGMTTCCTTTGTGTGTGACTACCGAGGCAAAATTCGCAAGTAGGCTATTAACTAGTAAGTTACTTTCATAATTTTTAAGGTGTGATTCATGCACATCTCATTTCACAACTGTAGTGAAAAAATGAAGACAAAGCCTACCTTGTCGATAAACATACAGTCTCCTCTCTCAACTATTGCAATCCTGTGCTTAATGTGCTCTTCATTATTGAGACTAGTACAACCTTTGAAAGGGTCGGCAATAACTACTTCAGCTCCAACCTATCAAACAAGTCAAACGTTAATCATTCTGAACCAAAAATAATGGCTTATTAGTGATAAATAACTAACACTGAGTAAAAATTGGGAGTCATTTGTCAAAGTTTTTTTTGTGCATGGCATTGTCATGAATGCCACTTAACCTGTAATCCTGTAGATGAGAAAGATGGCTACCATACACTCACAGGCTAAATGCCGGTGACCACAGCCATTTATTGTACTGTACTAAATGGATCCATTAGCTTACCCCTACATCTCCCTTTGACAAATCAAGACCAAATTGTGCAGGTCCAGCATTTAAGACAATACTACCATTATATGGTGGCGACATTAGTTGCACTACTCTGGGGTTGGTGGCAGCACCTAAAGAACAAAACACAACAAAAATGAGATTGATGGGAACTGTCATCAGCTGTATATGTGGTAACCTATACACCCTTTTAATAAGTCCCAAGGTATTGTTTTCTCCGCATTTGACGTCAAATTTATTCTTTTGAAATTTTTACAATACAAAAGGAATTCAAAAGAATAAATTTGATGTCAAGTGCAGAGAACGTAATACCTCGGGACTTATTAAAAGGGTGTATATGTTTCTGCTGTGTAAGATGTAGTACCTGTATCTATAGGTACGTGTAGGTTATGGGTAGTTTTTTTTTATTCTTAGTTCTATAATAACACTAAAATACCTGATTCGTCATTTCTTTGTTTTGCTAATTCTATCATTNAGATAAATAGACCTAGGGAGAGCTATATTTCATGTTCATGTACATGTAGGGACGGCTCGGACCTGGAAGGCTGCTCCCTCCCCTCCTAAAGGTACTCCTTTACTCAGACAAAGAACTGACGTCTGAAATATCACTTACAGCCAATTTGCGAATTTTGCTCCATTTGTCAAACACAAAAGAATCAAGACGAGGAGCTGTGTTAAAATCTCAGTCAATCGTCTCGCCTTGCTTCCTTTGTGTGTGACTACCGAGGCAAAATTCGCAAGTAGGCTATTAACTAGTAAGTTACTTTCATAATTTTTAAGGTGAGATTCATGCACATCTCATTTCACAACTGTAGTGTAAAAATGAAAACAAAGCCTACCTTGTCGATAAACATACAGTCTCCTCTCTCAACTATTGCAATCCTGTGCTTAACGTGCTCTTCATTATTGAGACTAGTACAACCTTTGAAAGGGTCGGCAATAACTACTTCAGCTCCAACCTATCAAACAAGTCAAAAGTTAATCAAAAATTTAACTAGACGCTTGTAAAGCGTGATGCGGGCTAGCTTAGCAAAAGATTCACAATACAAGATAAAAATTGTAAAAATCTCCAATGAATATTGTGACTATGACGTAACTATATATTATGAAAGTAAAATATGCCGATGAATACCTTAGTTTTCTTTGCAGTTCAATTCTTATCGTTAACCTTCACTGTCTGCTATAATCTTATCATAAGCTATATCAACTATCAACCATAATCTTTGTGCTATAGTGATTGTCCTACATTTGCAATGTATTTTGTAAAAATATTTATGGAAGCTCTTTACTTCTTGGTTAGCGATATCACATCTATTATTATTTACATAACAATGCATTTTAGATGGCATGAGTGCATTCTTTAAATTTTGTTTTTATTAGCCTTTCTTTCGTACAAAAGAAATCTAAAAATTGAAGCAAAACAAAGCTCAATTTCAAAACTTGTACTTTGTCATTTTTAACTAATGAAAAAACCCGATAATATTAAAGCAATTTCTTTGAATTTAAACAATAAAAACATTGTCAATTAAACAGAATACCTTTTGCTGTCTATAAATGTGGTAAAAAAGCCAGTATTTGAGCTGATTTCATTTTGAAGCTGTACTGAATAATCATCGAGCTGGACTGGTGAGGAAGGCGAGACTATTTTCGATGCAAAATCGTCTTAAAATGATAACTAGCAAGCTTGAAACTTCACAAATGCAAAATCCTAGTTCAATTCTTCAATGAGAAAGCTTTTGGTATTTCTTGTTGATAGTTTTTGAGTACTTTTTTCTCTGTTATCGGCGAAGTACCCGCCATTTTGGATTCTTGAGAAAATTTTCAGTTCGAGAGAGACTGCAAACTAATAGATATGGCTTCCTGTGGTTCGAGAGAGACTGGAAACTTCGACCCGACAGAGTGCGAAGGTAAAACTATAGCTGGCTAGCACAGCTAGCCCGCTAATAATAATCAATAATTATAACTTAATTTAATTTAATAATTAATAATTTAATTTTTGTGATACACACTGAGTAACACTAAGTCGATCATGACCATTTAACTTGGAAATAATGATCCATTCTAAGCTTACCCCTACATCTCCCTTTGACAAATCAAGACCAAATTGTGCAGGTCCAGCATTTAAGACAATACTACCATTATATGGGGGCGACATTAGTTGCACTACTCTGGGGTTGGTGGCAGCACCTAAAATACAAAACACAACAAAAATGAGATCGATGGGAACTGTCATCAGCTGTATATGTGGTAACCTATATGTTTCTGCTGTGTAAGATGTAGTACCTGTATATATGGGTAAGTGTAGGTTATGGGTAGTTTTTTTATTCTTAGTTCTATAATAACACTAAGATACCTGATTCGTCATTTCTTTGTTTTGCTAATTCTATCATTTCTTGCATAAATTTAATACCGTCTTCTGCATCAGACTGCGTTTGTGCCTATAAAGTAATGATTATTAATGATTATTAATCACTATCGATRAATTAAATTAGATTTTTCTCGTCGCATTGACAAGGGGCCGGGTAGTAATAAATATATGTTTCAAATAAAACTACAGTAGCACCAACAACTTGCATAGGGGTGTGCTGCAAGGACTGGGGACTTGTAGCATGGTCACATAAGCTTTTAATCTTGTTTTGCCTTTACTTACATTAGCAGCAGAATGCATAAGCTGTATTCTTCCTTCTTTGGTTTGTGCTACAGTGATTCCCATTGATTTAAGGATGTCTAGATGATCTTTGTTGCCAGGTACAAACTGCTCTGCTCTGAGTCGTGGAGGTCTGTCAGAGCAATTAAACAAATTTAATTAAACATATTTCTTTATGAAATAAAACATGAATTGCAGTCTATGTAACAGTCTATGTTTGGACAGCTTGGATGATTGATGATTGGTAGTTTGATTGATTGGTGGATTAATTTATTGAAGATTGATTGATTTATTGATTGATTGATTGATCAATTCATTAATCTATTGATTGATTCATTGATTGATTGATTGGTGGATTAATTTATTGATGATTGATTGATTGATTGATTGATTGATTGATTGACTGATTGACTGACTGATTCATTGATTGATTCACTGATTGATAACGACTGACTATTGTTCTGATGGATACCAGATTGACTGACTGGCTCAGTAACTGACCAACTAATTGACCACCTAAATGACTAATTGATTGACAAGGCAAACAACGTACTTAGTATTAGTGAAAGCAAATGCTTTCTTGGTTGGGCAGCTTGTCTGTGATTTGAACAGTACATTATTTCTGATGTCTTTAGCATAGTTTAGTCTGTCTCTTGAATGACCAGTATTGGGACAGCTGTATTCATGTTCATTCTCTTCATTGATTGTCACATTATATCGTACTTGCTGTTGATTGACAGAATTATAATTATACATAATTAAATCACACATAAATGTACATTATAATGCAAAATTTATGTACTAGACCTTTTCTGATATACAAAATCAACTTGCACTGTGGTCTAGACCATATTACATGTTGTAGTACATATTACGGACCATATTACATGTAGTACAAACAGCACCAAAATTGGGTGAATGAACAATGTTTATACCAAATGCAATGCTTGATAAATATTTCAAGAATCAGTAGCCCAAGAACAACAACAGACCATATTGAATGACAATTAACTTATGCAACTATTTCAAACAATCATTTTGATTGTGTGTGAGTGACATATGAAATATTTTCAAACAATAAGTTACTAGTATTTAATACCAATTACTTTCAATACCTGATAAGCTGTTTTATTAGCTGGAAGTGTAGACARGCTTAGAGGCARSAGATGTGCCTCAGTAGTGAAAATAAACTCATTCATGGGCATGATGTGTTCTTGTGGTTCAGAGAATAACAGGTAAAGATATTTGAATGTCTCAGCAAGCACAAAYGAGTCCATCCTGTTGGTAAATCAATCAATATTAATCTAAGTGGGGGAATTTTTGACAAGGGAGCTTGTATCTTTGCAGTCCGATGCCTGGGTTTTTGCCTAGTGTTTTAACTGAATTGGTCTTGTCTCCATTCAGAAGTACATGTGCTGACCATGGATGTAGGCTAACCACATATCRTTGTGCTTTAACTCAATTTTTATTGGATTTTCTAGAAATCTTGKCCATGGACTATGAGTAGCTGAGTTGTGATCCGTTTTGAGAAGCCTTGGCAATTCATGGATTCAACACATGACTGCTTGAGGAAAAAAATCAGGCAAGGGCTTATCGGGGAGCAATTCTCTATGACCCTTCTCATTTAAAGCGACTCAAACAGCAATTATGGGACTGAAAATATGCCCTTGTCTTTTTTGTTGATCTTTTTGTTTGTTTCTTTGTAAGTTTTTTCAGTGCTTTTTTAAAAAAGCTACTTCAATAGTATTATTTCTAATATTTTTCACAGATACAAGTGTTGAGAGCGACCACTTGATGCTTTGCAAGGTTACTAGCATATTAAACCAGCTTTTGTACCTGTCTTCATGGGTAAGGGTCCTGACATCCTTCAGAGCAGCAAAACCACAAGGKACTCTTGCATGTTCATTGATTTTCTCAACAATATTCTTACCAACTTCAAGGTAATGTGGATCTCCWGTGGCCTAGYAAGACAATCAAGTGTTCAMAAAGAGAATTTAAAATACAACAGAGACTAAGTTTGTTTTTGATGACTGAATGGATGAAAAGGGAAATGTATGTGTGAATGAAAGGATGGATGGAAAGATGAATGACTGAACAGAAGAACAAATAAATGAAAAAATGAATGAAATGGAAGAAGGTAAAGGGGGTAGGGGTAAATGAAAAGATGGAATAAAGGATTAAAAAACRAAAAATGGATTGAGCAGATCAATGACCAAAGTGAAGGACACAATAGTACATTAAATGGACAAACCACTGCATATAAAATTACTTTAATCGACATGCATTTTTTTATTACCTCATACAGGAAGTAAGTACTTTCAACCAGTTCAGGACGGAGAGGATGCTCGCCCCAATGCACTTCAAAATCAGTTGTAAATGCCTTCAAAAAAGCACAAATATTATTAGCCTAACAGACAAAGTAATGACAATTTACATTACACCCCTTATTTGGTATAACACAACATACACTGAGCAGAATTGTATCAAAATATGTAATCGAACTACAATTTTTAGGACTTGCAAGAGATCTGTAGAGTGCTCATAAAGTACTATACAGAATCCCTCAGAACTCTACAGTGAGAGCTCTTCAGAACTCTGAAAATCACTACTTCAGAGCTTTAAAGAAATTTAGAGAACTCTTATTAAACTCATTAATATTCATAAGGCAAAACACAATAGAAATCATAGCCCATGAAGAGAGTTGTATATTACATACAGATTTCTTGTTCATTTGCATAAACTTTGACTCTGATTTTCTCAGCCAGATTGAATTTTTTTTCAAAAGTTTCTTTAAAACCTGAGCTAATTTACCTTAACGTTTCATAAGTAATATACAATATTCGCGTGCGATCTGTATGAGGATTTAAAACAGCTCGCTTTCAGCTCGCTGTTTTAAATCCTCATACAGATCGCCCGCTCATATTGTATATATTAC